CACCTGGGTGGCTCAGTTGGCTGAGCATCTGACTTTGGCTCAGAGCCTAAAGTCTGACCTCACAGTTCGTGAGTTACAGCCCTGCACTGGGCTCGCTGCTGTGAGCATAGAGCCTGCTTCAGATCCCCCTCTCTCTCTGCCCTTCACCACGTGCTCTGTCTCTCTTAAGCAGGGATGGCCTCACCTACCGTCACATTACCAATGATTGCCTCCAGAGGCCTTTGTGCTTCCCATACCCACAACTCTGGGCTCTGCAGGGTTAGAAGTCTTGATCTGTAAGGAGAACACACTTTTCACCAAGACAGAGCAAGTTTCCTACTTAATTGCAAGCTCCAGGTATACCGTGGGCATTGTGCTCCTTGTGTCCAGGTACCAGCAGGGCAGACGAGGAGTCGCTCTTTTTCAGGGGTACTTGATGCACGAGGAGGATGCAGTGCTGCTTACACAACAGGGTGGGGAGGAAGGAATGGATTCAGGTGATCCACTTAGGAGCTTCTTGCAACTTTCTTACCCAGTTGTGAAGGTACATGCACAGATACAGCAACTTGCTCTGAGGGCACGGAAACCATGGCTCAGACCCCTCAGCAAGGAGGTGAGCCATCAATGCCAGCAGAGGTGGCAGAGGCCCCAGAATAGCTCACAGGTGAGAGAAAACGATAGCATCAGGAGGGACCAGTTGGTCCCAGCGAACTTTGTTTCCTCAGTCTCTCCTCGGACAGACCTAACACTGGGAAAATGGAACTCAGCAGTGGTGGGATGGACTGTGGGCACAGAGTGAGGCCACCCAACCCTCTCCAGGGAAGGACTTGTTGCTCAGCAGCAGGGAGTGGTCTGCTGACTGCCCCCAGTTGCCGGAGTTTGTGGAGTTGGTCTCAGCTAAAGAGAGCAGATTCACTTGGGATGCTCCCCTTCCCAGGGCAACAGGCCCCTGGTGACGGAGCTGCTCGGGGATGTGGAGACCTGACCATCTTGGCCCCACAGGAGGCACTCACGAGCAGCACTTCCTTCAGAGCTTCCTACTGGTGTGGCCAGGGTCTCACCAGCCTCAGTCCAGCCTGACTTCTTCCTCCGACCCACCCTTTCCTATTCATCTTCCCATTACCCCACAGATGCTGATCCTCAATAAACACCTTGCACTCCAAACTGAATCTCAGGATCCACTTCCAGAGAACCCAACTTATCGCACAGCCTAACCTCCTGTGTTAGGAATATTTGGGTTGTAAGTAACAAACACAACTTGAACCAGATGAAGCAAGCATGAGAATTTATTAGAAGGGTATTTGGGATATCTCACAGAAGAATGCAACAATCAAGGCATGAAAAGGGCAGATGTGAGTCTGGACATTAGGACAAGAACCAGGTCCCGGAATAAGCTTCCAGGCTTCACTCTTCTCCCTCACTGCAGACTATGCTTCCCTATGTGGTGGAAAGCAGCCACCGTGAGCACTCACGTTCATAGATTACAACCTCAGTTGCTAAAACCGTATAGACAAACAAGATAGTCCCAGGTTTCCAGAAGCTTTCTAATGGAAAAGACAAGACATGCGATGATTGTATTACCACAGTGACAAACACATGTGCGGTTCATAAAGGATGGCCAAGCATTAATAAGGAACATGGGCATTTCAGTGACAGGAGACTTGTGAGATTGTAGAAATACGAAGGAACTGCAAGTAGTTCAAGGAGGCCAAAAAGTACTGTGCAGGAGGAAAGATATTCAGAAATGATGGATAGGCCGGATTTATACAGAAGTCCTCATTAAGTCCACAATTAGCTACCTGCTGTTTCAACACAGAAGTGTATAATCAGAATTGCACCTTAAAATACTATGTGTAGTGTGGAAAATGGACTAAAAAAAGAATGAAGGCAAGGTGCAAGAAATTATACATACAGCTACAAGGGTCATGGTTGGGTTAGCACATCAGCATAGGCCAGACTAGGTGCTGAACACCTAGCAGCTTGCTGGTACCGTATCTGTAGACTCATGAGCCCAGCAGAGCTGACAACCTGAGCATATACTGCTGGAATAAACGGCCAAATGAGGGAAGCCTCGGATGTAGATTCCAGATGCCCACTGATCTACATTCTTCTATTGGTACAGGTATTGCTGGATAAATTGGATATTCTTTGGGTTTATTTCACCTCAGGTTCTACAGGTGATGATCTTGAGATCAAAATACCCAGAACATTGGATCCATAGAGAGAATGGTGTCACATTACAAAAGCCCACAAAGAAACACTGAATAGAAAGGCACTCCCCAAAACTCACAGACTTGATCTCCAAATGATCCATTACTTAGTAAAAGGAATACAGTAGAACTGTCCTTGGCAGAATGGTCTTCCAGGACAGTGGGGGAACCTGGGTGGTGAAAGAGGAGGGAGGGGATGCTCTCCCTATGCATTCTACCAACATCAGCTACTATGCTCCATGAAGCTGCAAGTAAATCCCTCTTAGCATCAAAACCAGCTTTCTTCTTGATGTGGGATTTGTGGTAGGGGAAATGTGAGGACTCGTGTTTTTTTGTGGTTTACCAAGGTAATTTAAAACGTGGACACTGAAACTATCTAATTTCAGAATCAAAGACCCCTCTTCAAAAAGAGAGTACCCAGTGAGTTCTACACAGCATACCTGGGTCTCCACGTAAGGTATTTTGATAAACAAGGCCTCTGTTGCCAGCGTTAGCACTCCCTATGACTGACACATGACCCCTAAGGAAAAAATCTGCTCTTCGGTATTCAACCAGTAGGCTAAAGCCAAAGTTTGGTTATCTAGAGAGTAAACTACTGGGTTTAACTCCTTAATAGTAAATGGAACAATCTAGAACTGAAGTGAGAAAAATTAGGTCATTTTTAGACAACAGACTCCAAACTCAATCCAAGAACTAACGAATCAATATCTGGGACTAGGGAAGAGAATCAGGAGAGATAAAAATTTAAAAATGGGAGAATCTACAAAGTAAAACATAACCCTATAACTATTCTTTTACAAATGAAGTTGATAAAATCACCTTCAGGTTTGAGGGAGAAAAGCAGGAAGTCCGTATGTTTGAGCATGAATAAAAATTTGGGAAGTTAGATACTTTTAAAATTACCATCCTGGTGTAGTGGATTAGAAAATTACTCTCATTGAAGTCCCAATTTTTCAACAATGATGTAAAATTGGTAATTACAGGAAAGAATACTGGTAAACTCAAAGGTGTGGACAAAGCGACTTGTGCATGAAAGTCGTCTTGATTTTCCCAAGTCTGGAATCAAAGTCAGGACTTTTCTGAATTTCACCATCATACAAAGAATACTATACACTTTGTCAAGGATCATTATAAAGATCACTGCAAAGTTCCACCTGAGCTAAAGGGTGGTTCATGCACTGTCGAAGCGAGCCCTACTTACAATGAAAGGTTCACAACAGGATCACCATGTGCACGGTGCAGCTGGTGAAGAGAGGCAAAGCACAGATACTTCAAATGATGAAGCAGTGAAAGGCCTACTTCCTAATACCTGTCCGGACATCACAGAAATGTGCAGGAAGGTAAAATAGGCTTCCTTGAATACATCAAAAATATATTTCTCAGCACAAAAAAATCTATACTTTACATTTTCTGAAAGCGACCCCTAAATAACTGGTTTCTCCCCCTAGCTTTTCCACAAAATATCTTAGGAAACACTGAAAACAATAGCACACAGCATATTTCATCAGAGTAACTTAAATACAAGCTGTACTTGGGCACACAGCACTTGAAGTACGTACACTGGATGCACAAAGGCACCACACTGAATGAGAACAACACCTGGACAGCACTACTGCCATTTAGCTCGAGTGCTGTGTGATACAGTTCACACGCTTTTCTTTTGCTCACTCAGTACGTAATGAGTCACTATTGCGTTTTGCGTTCCTGTCTTTGAATACTCATTAACCAGGTATTAGGTAAATTGTTTCTGAGTCTGAGATTGCAGACTTTATATAATGTTGGCTTTCATAACGGAAGAGAAACATCAGCAACCACAGACCTGTTTATATGCCAACAAGCCATAAGGAAAAAAAGAGATGTAGTGTTATTAAGCTGCGTACTTAACAGTAAGACATGTTATACCAATTGCCATTTCAATAGTATCATTAAAACAGAAAAACCAGCGGCATGTGGTTATGTCCTGACATCAGAGGCACTACTACAAGGTATGTGCATTTCATGCTCACAATTACATCATATGTGATTCCAAAATATGAGACACACTGTGTGACACAGGAAAATAAACCATAAATACCACTGAGAAATGTCTTATCTAGATGTTTCAATGACTCAATTTATTCACATATTTTTAAAACTTCATACTTCAGAATGAACATGTCAATCATCAGTATGGGGTTTCTAATAACCACGTCTATAAAAAAATGTATGGCTTCCCTTTATAGCCTTATTTCTAGGGGCACATTTCCCATTTCTTTCAATCGTTAGGCTTACCCACAATGTAAATCCCCCCCCCAAAAAAAAATATGGTTGGATTACCTGCTGAAGAGTGTCCCATATTTAGTATTTTCACAGAGCTTCATTCCTGAGAGTATTTTAATGCACAATGAGCTGTGATTTCTTGATGGAAACATCACCTCACTTGCCGTATTCATGGGATTTTTCTTCATTTGCTGGATTAGGGTTTACCCCAGTGGGCATATTTCCAACAGCTAATGAGATGTGGCCTCTGCAAAGCTTTCTGATGTTCACAGTACTCATCTTTGCTATTAATTTCCTACTGTATGCTTGCCAAGCTTTTAAAATCCACTGCATCTCATAGGCTCATTCTACTCCATGAGTTCCTATATAAGCATGTTAATCAGCTGAAAACTTTCCCTACATAACCTCACTTAGAGTTCCTACCCTAAAAGATTATTCAGACCTACAATGTGATGTGACTATTTATTTGAAAGGTTTACCATAACTGCATTTTCTGAAGTACAAAGAGGTAAGGTCTCTGTCAAAGACTAATATTAACTCCAATCCTAGGATTTCTTTGCTGTATGAGTTCTCTGGTGATTAATGAGCTGTGACTTTTGGGAGAAGGCTTTCCCACATTCATGGCATTGGTAAGGTTTCTCTCCTGTATGAATTCTCTGGTGGTTAACAAGCTGTGACTTCTGAGAGAAGGCCTTCCTACATTCGCTGCATCCGTAGGGCTTCTCCCCAGTGTGTGTCCTCTGGTGCGGTATGAGGTGTGATTTCCGAGAGAAAGCTTTTCCACATTCGCTGCATTCAAAGGGTTTCTCTCCTGTATGTGTTCTCTGATGATTGATGAGACTTGACTTCTCCCTAAAGGCTTTCCCACATTCGCTGCATTCATAAGGTTTTTCTCCTGTATGAGTTCTCTGATGTCTAATTAGCTCAGATTTCTCAAAGAAAGCTTTCCTGCAAAGACTGCATTCGTAGGGTTTCTCTCCTGTGTGGATTCTCTGGTGAGTATTGAGCTGTGACTTCTGGGAGAAGGCTTTTTCACAATCCCTGCACCCGTATGGTTTCTCTCCTGTATGAGTTCTCTGGTGAGTTGCAAGACTGGACTTCTCACCAAAAGCTTTCCCACATTCAGTGCATTCATAGGGCTTCTCTCCTGTATGAGTCCTCTGATGTGATATGAGATGGGACTTCTGACAAAAGGCCTTCCCACACTCACTGCACACATAAGGCTTTTCTCCTGTGTGAATTCTCTGATGATTAGTAAGGCTTAGTTTTTCACTGAAAGCCTTCCCGCACTCACTGCATTCATAGGGCTTTTCTCCTGTGTGAGTTCTCTGATGTCTAACAAGCTGAGATTTCCTGCTGAAGGCTTTCCCACATTTACTGCATACAAAGGGTTTCTCTCCTGTGTGTGTCATCTGATGGGAAATGAGATGTGACTTCTGGGAGAAGGCTTTCCCACACTGAATGCACCCATGAGGCTTCTCTCCTGTGTGAGTCCTCTGATGGTTAATGAGACTTGACCTCTCTCTGAATGCTTTACGACATTCACTGCATTCATAGGGCTTCTCTCCAGTATGAATTGTCTGATGTCTAATGAGCTCTGATTTCTCAAAGAAGGCTTTTCTACAATCACTACACCCATAGGGTTTTGTTCCTGTGTGAGTCCTGTGATGTGTAACGAGTTGTGATTTCCTGCTGAAGGCCTTCCCACATTCTCTGCATTCAAATGGTTTCTCTCCTGTATGAATTCTCTGATGATTAATAAGATTTGACTTCTCACTAAAGGCCCTTCCACATTCATTGCACCCGTAGGGTTTCTCACCTGTGTGTGTCCTCCAGTGTGATATGAGATGGGACTTCCGGGAGAAGGCTTTCCCGCATTCACCACATTCATATGGTTTCTCTCCTGTGTGTGTCCTCTGATGGGATGTGAGCTGTGACTTTTGGGAGAAGGCTTTCCCACACTGGCTACAATTGTAAGGTTTCTCTCCTGTGTGAGTCCTGTGATGTGTAACAAACTGTGACTTCTGGGGAAAGGTTTTGCCACACTTACCACAGCCATAGGCTATCTCCCTTATGTGTCTGGTCTGATGTTTAATGAGACTTGATCTCTTAGTGAAGCGTTTCCTACATTCACTGCATTCATAGAGTTTCTCCCCTAGACGAGTTCTGTGAAATATGATAATCTGTGACTTCTTGGAACTAATTTTATCATATTTATCATATTCATAGTATTTTAACCAAGCATCAGTTTCCTCAGGCTTGGTATCGAGAAACAACTTATCAAATACACTGAAACCATCCGATTCTGTCTTTCCATAATCTGCTTTTGGAATAAGTAAATCTAAGTGATGTTTTAAAAATAATCCATCTACATTATCTTCACTGTTTGATTTCCTTAAAGGAACAAAGTTCATGCTCAGATTGAGTTTTTTTCCAAATGCATCACATTCGTGATCCTGTTTCAGATTTCTAAGCTTCTCCTGGTCATCCTGGCGCCACGTCATATGACCATTTCCTTGCAAGTCTTGTTCTACAAAGAAATAAAAACCTGTGAATGTTTCTATGGTTGTCTTTCCTAAATGAAAAACCAGCTATGCTATGTAAGGGGAATGAATGCTGGGGAAGGCCATTTCCCAGTCCCAGGTAGAAGGTCTATCCTCTAGGTACTGGGGAAAAAAAGAAAACAAAATGCTACAAACAGGAATGACATACAGGCAGTATATTATGTCACCTGTGATTGTGGTCAAATATAAGTTTATAAAATGTAAGAGAATGTAAAAAATATATCAAGAGCAACGAGGAACAAAGAAAGGAGGATGGAAGAAGCACTGATCCAATATTGTGAGGAAATGATTTCCTCAACACCTACTGAGTACACACTGTGCCCCAGGTGGAGCACGAATCGCAAGAGACAGGAAACAAGCCCCTGACCTTGAGGAACTTAACTGTAATGGAAAAGAAAACAAATAGAGAAAATTAACAGGTTGACAGAGTAACTACTAAAGCCATTACAAGCTTAGAGAATGAGAAATCTTATTTGTCCCTTTTCCCATTTTAAAATTTTCTGAACGTTTTAAACTTACCAGAAACATTTTCAGCATTATCACCAAGAGAGCCACTTCGTGGAGCACACCATTTTTCATCTAACGTGTTTAGGCACAAAACTTCACAATCTATGTGTTCTTTCACTGAAAATATCTTAAGATACAAGTTCCCATTCTTCAAATATTCTCAATTTGCCCTTTATTATATAGCTCTTTTATCATTATTCTCACAACATAACCACTTAGGCCACTGTTATAAGTGTTCTTCAAAAGGCTTATTTTTCACTAATAATCAACACTTGGAATTTTTCCTGAGCTCTTACCCACAGGTATGAAAGCCAACCAGTAATGTGAAAAACTTTTTAAAGACTTAAATGTCAATCAAGGGTAATAAATTTGGAGGAAACCCACAACTTACTGTCGGCCATATCCATTCAGGAGGTAGAGTCAACAAGATTTGCTGATGGATTTGACATGTAAGGAATAAGAAAAAGCAAGGAATCAAGAATGAACCCTAAGACTGGGGTTTGAGCAATTCAGTGGATTATGGTGTTCATTACTGAGTTGAGAAGAATAAAGGAAAACGAAGCCTGGGGGTTAAAATCAAAAGTCTACTACAGAAATATTAGCTTTGAGATGTACGTTACAAGTTTGAATAAAGCAGTAACAGGAAACGTGAGAACAGAAAATGAGTAGTTACAAGTTAAACTTGTAATTTTGTTACTTTAACTGTTACATTGTTAAACTAAATACACATTTGGAAATTGTATCTAACTTCTTCCAACTTTAATTTTTCCCCATTAGAAAAATGGGTTTGCTTCATGTTTGACCATTTGTAGTATATCCCAGATACCCCAACTCTCCCCACCACTTTTTTCTGCTGTAGCTTGTTTATCTTTAAGTATTTTATTTTTTATTTTAGAGAGAAAGAAAGCATGAGTTGAGGAAGAGGGGCAGAAGGAGAAAGAGAGAGAATCACAAGCAGGCTCCACGTAGGGCTCAATCCCATGACTCCGGGATCATGACCTGAGCTGAAATCAAGAATCAGATGCTCAACCGACTGAGCAACCCAGGTGTTCCTCTCTGCTGTAGTTTAATCCATCTTAATAGCTCAGTAAAATATCCTTCCAACTGGTTTCCCTGCTTCCTGTTAATTTTCTACTCTGCAATCAGGTTAAGCTTTTTAAAATACAAATCAGATAATACTATTATTACTTAAAATTGTTTGAATCAATTCAAACTCCTTCCTATTGCTTACACGTTGATGTATGATCTAGTTTCCGCACACTCCCCAACCCCTATCTCCCTGAGGCAAGGCCTTTCTAAGTAACCAAGTCCCTTCCTGACTTAATGCATTCATATTTATCATTCCTTTTTTTTAATATTTATTTTGAGAAAGAGAGAGTGCGAGCAGGGGAGGGGCAGAGAGAGAAAGAGAGAGAGAGAATGAATCCCAAGCAGGCTCTGCACTGTCAGAGCAGACTGACACAGAGCTCGAACTCACAAACCATGAGATCATGACCTGAGCTGAAATCAAGAGTCAGATGCTTAACCGACTGAGCCCCCCAGGCACCCCCATATTTGTCATTCCTTTAAGGAACACTTTCTCCTAATTCAAATAGCTTGTTCCTTTCAGTCTTCATGTCTAGAGTTGCCTTCTCCACATGACCCTGTTATGGATCAAATGTTTGCGCCATCCCCCAAAATCTATATATTTAAGCTTTAACCTCCGGTGCGGTTGTATTTGGAAATGAGATCCCAAAGGATGGAATTAAGGCTAAATGAGATCATAGTGGTAGGGCCCTGATCCAAAAAGATTAGTATCCTTATCAGAAACACCAGAGTACTCCTTGGCCCCTAATCTACCCACATGCATGAATGAGGAAAGGCCATATGAGGGCAGAGCTACATTGCTACAAGCCAGCAAAACAGCTTTCATCAGAACCCAAATCACGCAGGCACCTTGATCTTGGGACTTCCAGCCTCCAAAACTGCGGGAGTAACTTCCTGAGCAGACTAACAGTCTCTCTACCATATTATTATCTACCTTATTTCTATAAGAGCACTTTCAGGATCTCGGTTTTACCCTGGTTATTTGAAAACTTGTTCTCTTTTATCCTCCCGTGAGAAAGTAAGCACTGTGTAGACAAGGAATACCCACACCATCCAGCACAATACCTTAAAAATAATAAGAGAAATCAACACATATTCAATTTTCTATGAACTGCTAAAGTTGTTGTGCAGAAAAGAGTTGGCACCAGGCCTGAGAGTGCTATGCACACACGACTACTTGCAAGGTTGCTCTTGGCTAGCATTTGGGAACCTGGGTTTCTGGAGTGTTCCTACCATTCCCAGCTGATAAAAGGGGCTCCCTGTGGTGGACTGTGTGCAAACCATGTGGTTTATGCTGAGTACCTGGTCTCCTGGGAGTCTGAAATGCTGGACTCCTAGCCGAAGTGCTAGGCAGAGGTGCCTCTGACCAGCTCCCAATAAAACCCTGGGTGCTCGGTCTTTAGTGACCTTTCCTGGGCAGAAATACCACACGTACTACTCCATTTTCATTGCTGGGGAAGAAGTGAGCTCTGTGTCACCCTCACGGAGGGAGCAGCACAGGAAACCTGCACCTGGATTCCTCCAGACTCTGCTTGTGCCCGTTCCATGGTGATGCAGCTATGTGTCATTATGTCACTGTAATAAATCTTAGCCATTCCTACAACATCCGCAGTCCCGTGGAACCTCTGAGCATAGTGGTGTTCTTGGGGACCCTGAAGTGCAGGCCTTGTTAATTTTGACAACTAACTTTGCGCTACACTGCAGTGAAACATAAATGTTCACTATTTAAATGCAGAGTTAAAAAAATTGGATGCAAATGTCACTTAAGTAAGTTCTATGCTTCTGTATGGTATTTTCCAGGTATTTTACTTTTTAATCACTTTAGTAGAAACTCAAGTGGTGACCATCAATGAGAGAGGGGCACATAAAAAAAAAAATCACAAGAGTTTCTCAAACTACAAATTCCAGTTCTAGAATACTACATTTTAAAATATGTATACACCACTCTACTGAATCAAATCCCCATGTGATCTAATGCACACCTGGGTAAAAACACCTGTATTAGAACAATGGGCTTGTGGAGAAGAATTTGCGGAATGAATCCTGTCTGACACAGAGCTGGGTATAAAACTATAAGCCTGTGTCTGTGCATGCACACAAAGCTCAGAGACCAACCAACTAAAGAATATTACCCAGCCTGTGATCAGGTCTGGAATGGGACTTCCGAAAAAAGTGAGACCAACTGAGCTAGACAGTCAAGGAACATTCCATGTGTATGAATGTGTATGTGAAAACAGAGTTTGTGTGGAAAGAATTACGATAAAACACAGCACAATCAAACGGAGATGCAGAGAAGAGTAAGTATTTCGTCTGAAAACACTGAGAAATGTTCAAATGGAGTTGACCATGAATTTGAGGAAGAGGGTATAAACAGCAGGAGAGGCTGCATAGATTCACACAGTGGAGAGCCTGGAAGAAGAGGCTATAGGCTGTAGCAGACTCTTGTCAATGCCTCAGCTACATTCAGATGGCACCTGCACCCTGGGAAGACTGTGGGGCCCACCCCAGGCACCCATCTCTCTCTGCCCAAAATAATCCTTAAGCTGCAAGCGCATGCTTGGTCTGTGTGCAGGGATTCTGGACATTCTGGAGAATTCACGAACGCCCCCAGAGCAACACTCAAGCCCTGACCACTGGGCGTTAGCAGGTGACCGGCTTCCTGGTCCCTCGGGGGGGTCCAGGCAGCCGCCACAGGTGAGCACCCTTCCATCACATGCACTGCCATTCCCTCCCCACCCCCACATCAACGCCCTTCCTCCCACCGCAATGCCACTCAGATATGTACCTCAGGGGGTGATTTCGAGGGAGCCTGAACTTATAAAAGAAGGTTAGATTCTACACCTATGTAGAAATTTGGATAATTC